ATCCCAGGACCCCGGATCATGACCCGAGCCAAAGGCAGACGCTTAACGACTGAGCCACCCAGGCGCCCCTTCTCTGCTTATTTTTTAGTAAGATCTTTTTGGTGTTATGTAAGTTCTTTATATATTTTGGATATCAACCCCTTATTGGATTTATCATTTGCTCGTATCTTCTCCCATTCAGTAGGTTGCTTTTCTTTTGTTGACGTTTCTTTGCTCTGCAAAAACTTCATATTTTGGTACAGTCCCAATAGTTTATGTTTGCTTTTGTTTCTTTTGCCCAAGAAGACCATCTATGAAAATGTTGCTAGGCTGATGTCAGAGATTACTGCCTGTGTTTTCTCCTAGGAGTTTTATGGTTTCAGGCCTTGCATTTAGGTCTTTAATCCATTTTGAGTTTATTTTTGTGTATGGTGTATAAGAAAGTGATCTAGTTTCATTGTTTTGCAGATGTCTACTTTTCCCAGCACCATTTATTAAAGAGAGAGAGCATTAGCGAGCATAAGCAGAGGGGCAGAGGGAGAGAGAGAATCTGGAGCAGACTCCACACTGAGAGTGAAGGCTGATGCGGGGCTCGAACCCATGACCCTGAAATCATGACCTGAGCTGAAATCAAGAGTCAGACACTTAACTGAGCCACCCAGGTACCCCAGTGGAATTTTAAATTTCTGCCACTTCATTATTAGTGTATGTAGAAAGACAACAAATTTCTGTTTATTAATTTTGTATCCTGCAATTTTACTGAATTATTATTTCTAATAGTTTTTGGTAGAGTCTTTAGGGTTTTCTGTGTATAGTATATAATCTGCAAATAGTGACAGTTTTATTTCTTCCTTATTAATTTGGATACCTTTTATTTCTTGTCTGCTATGGCTAGGACTTCTAGTACTGTGTTGAATAAAAGTGGTGAGAGTGGGCATCCTTGTCTCGTTCCTGATCTTAGAGGAAAAGCTGTTTTTCACCATTGTGTATGATGTTAGCTGTGGATTTGTCATATATGACTTTTATTGTATTGAAGTATGTTCTCTCTAAATGAATGCACTTTGTTTAGAGTTTTTATCATGAATGGATGTTGAATTTTGTCAGATGTTTTTTCTACATCTATTGAGATGATCATGTAATTTTTATCCTTTATTTTGTTAATGTGGTATATCATATTGATTGACTTACAAATATTAAGCCATGCTCCTATCCCCCGAATAAATCCCACTTGATCATGGTGAATGATTTTTTTCATGTACTGCTGAATGTGGTTTGCTAATATTTTGTTTAGGATTTTTGCATCTGTGTTCATCAGGGAAATTGGCCTATAGTTTTGTTTTTTAAACAGTGTCTTTGGTTTTGGTATCAGGGTGATCCTGGCCTTGTAGAATGTATTTGGAAGCTTTCCTTCCTCTTCTGTTTTTTTGTTTTTTGTTTTTTTCCTTTTTTAAGTAAGCTCCATGCCCAGCATGGAGCCCAACATGGGGCTTAAACTCATGACCCTGAGATCAAGACCTGAGCTGAGATCGAGAGTCAGATGCTTAACTGACTGAGTCACCCAATGTGCCCCTCCTTCCTCTTCTGTTTTTTCCGAATAGAGAATAGATGTTAATTCTTTAAATGTTTTGTAGAATTCACTTGTGAATCCATCTGGTCCCGGGCTGTGTTTGAAGTTTTTTGAGTACAGTTTAATTTTGTTACCAGTAATTGTTCTATTAAGATTTCCTATTTCTTCCTGATTTGGTTTTGGAAGATTGTATATTTCTAGGAATTTATCCATTTCTTCTAGCTTGTCCAGTTTGTTGGAGTATCATGTTTTGTAGTAGTCTCTTATAAACCTTTGTATTTGTGTAGTGTCGGTTGTTCTCTTTTCATTTCTGATTTATTTGGGTCCTCTCTCTTTTTCTTGATGTGTCTGGCTAAAGGTTTATCAATTTTATCTTTCCAAAGAACCAGCTCTTGATCTCCTTGATCTTTTCTATTTTTTTAGTCTTTATTTCTGCTCTGATCTTATTTCCTTTCTTCCAACTTTGAGTTTTGTTTTTTTTCTAGTTCCTTTAGGTGTAAGGTTAGATGAAGATTTTTCTTGTTTCTTGAGGTAAGCCTATATTGCTATAAATTTCCCTCTTAGATCTGCTTTCACTGCATCCCAAAGATGTGGACTGTTGTTTTCATTTTCATTTGTCTCCATGTATTTTATTTCCTCTTTCTTCATTGACCCATTGGTTATTTAGTAGCATGTTGTTTAGCCTCCATGTTTGTGTTTTTTCCAGTTTTTTTTGGTAATCAATTTCTAGTTGCATACTGCTGTGGTTGGAAAAGACGCATGATAGGATTTCAGTCTTCTTAAATTTATTGGGACTTGTTTTGTGACCTACCATGTAATCCGTCCTGGAGAATGTTCCATGCACATTTGAAAAAAATATGTATTTTGTTGGTTTTGGATGGAATGTTCTGTATATATCTGTTAAGTCTGGTCTCATGTGTTGTTCAAAGACACTCTTCCCTTATTGATTTTCTACCTGGATGATCTATCCATCAATGTCAGTGAGGTGTTAAAGTCCTCTACTATTATTGCATTACTGTCCATTTCTTTGTTTGTTAATACTTGCTTTATGTATTTAGGTGCTCCAGTGTTGGGTACATAGATGTTCACAATTGTTATATATCCTCTTTCTGGATTGATCCTTTTATCGTTATATTATGCCCTTCTTTGTCTCATTACAGTCTTTGTTTTAAAGTCTGTTTTGTCTTATAGAAGTATTGCTACCTGCCTTCCCCTCCCCTCCCCTGCTTCCATTTATGTGGAATGTCTTTTTCTGTTCCTTTGCTTTCAGTCTGTGTGTGTCTTTAGATCTGTTGTCTCGTGTAGGCAGCATATAGATTGGTCTTGTTTTTTTCATCCATTCTGCCATTCTGTGTCTTCATTGGAGCATGTAGACCATTTACATTTAAAGTAATTATTTATAGGTATGTATTTATTGCTATTTTGTTGTTTTCTGGATGTTTTTGTAGTTCTTCTCTGCTTCTCTTGCTCTCCTGTGATTGATGACTTTATTGTTATGCTTATTTAGATACCTTTTCTTTCTTGTCTGCTATGGCTAGGACTTCTAGTACTGTGTTGAATAAAAGTGGTGAGAGTGGGCATCCTTGTCTTGTTCCTGATCTTAGAGGAAAAGCTGTCTTCTCATTTTGCTTGACTTTGTTTATATGAATTAGGGGGGGAGCAGCTACTTCTCCTAAATTTGAAGGAATGGTTTTGTGTATGGTCATCCCCTGTGTAGACTGTGTGTGTGTGTGCGCGCCTGCTGACTTGGGCAGGCTAGAGCTGTGGTTGGCATGGGCTGGCGGGGGTGCGGGCGGGTTCCCAGGACAGTGCTTGAGCTGCCCTGGTGGAATGGCCTGAGCTGAAGTGGGCATGAGCTGGGGTGTCCCATGGTGTTCCATGCAGGGGACACCCTGACAGGACAGCTGGAGCCAAGGTGGGCACAGACCAGGGGGTGCTGGGGTGCTCCATGTCAAGGGTGCCCTGGCGAGCAGCTGGAGCTGCAGTGGGCTGTAGTCTGAAGGGTCTCAGAGTGCTTTGCAAGGCGGGGTGCCCTAGCCAAGGCAGGTGCAGCCCGGGGGGTCCACTGGGGGGCTCCATACAGGGTGTGACCTGGTGGGCCAGGAGGTCCCAGGGTGTCCTGCTACAGCAACATCGTATGTTCCTAACATCTATGCCGCACTGCTGCTTTGTGACATTTGCAAACCCAGGCCAGGAGCTCAGGATAGATCTGAGCTGTAGCTACAGATATGTGGTTCATCTGAGGCCAGGGGAGGGCTAAGGACCTGTAGAGAGCCAGCTAGGGAGTGTTTCTGGTGTCAAACCTGTCCTTTCGATTAATGATCAGGTGTAAGCACATCACTGATGCACCCCCAGAGTTGAGGTGTTGTAGAGGACAGACAACAGGCTGTGCTTAAGCATCACTGCTCAAGGTCCACAAGCCCCCTCCCCGCCCCCCGCCCCCCCCCCAGGGTGCTTTGCCCAGAGGAAGGGGAGGCAGGACAGCATAGGGTAGATAGCTTAGCAGCTTCAGGATGAGCCCCCACGAAGGCAGGGAGAGGGGGCAGCTCCCACCGCCAACGAGCCCTGCAAGAGGCCAACCGAAGGCAAGGAGGGGTGGCAGGCATGCATGTCAGACCTGCGGATGGTCTGAAGGAGAGGAATCCAAACTGTGCTCCAAGAGACTGCTCTGGCAGGACTTCTCTAAAGCTTACTCTTTCCTAAGGGCTTAGTGTCTTAAAATTCAGATAAGCCCAAGTCCTAGAAAGCTGATGCCCTAACGGATAGCACAGGATATCTAACTGTGTTCCCATTTGCCAGATGAGAAAGTTGAGGCCCAGAGAAGCGAGTGACTCGGCCAAATTGCTCAGTTACGTGTTGTGACACGGCCACCACTTGTCTGTCCTAGGCTGACAAACCAGATCTAATGGATGGACACACCGGCCGCCTCCACCTACTGGGAATGTGTAGCCATAACCTTTGTTTACTTCAGAAAGGGCTCCCTCAGGATGATGGTCAGCTTCCTTCCCTCTTGCAGGGCAGAGCCCACTGGGGGTGCTACCAAAGCTTGTCTTTAGAGGTCTTTCACTCCCTTGGTTAACTGTAGTCCTGTTCTGCCGATGAGACGTATTGAAGTCAGAGCGCTCTGGAGGTGAGCAGAGGGCAGAATGGGGGGCAAAGCTCTCAGCCTGAAACCTGAAAACCTTTCTGTCACCACTGGCCCTCTCTGCTGTCACCACTCCTGTTCCAGGAACCCGTCCGCCAGCACAGGGGAGAGCGTGTGCACCCCGACGCCGTGCTGCAGAAGGCTAACATCCAGCGGGGGTTCGCAGTTGGGGCTCAGCACAGAAAGAAGCAGAGCATGCGGCCGCTGGAGACTCCCAGGTGAAGGCCAAGCAGCTCCCTTCGTTCTTCCACGCCCTTGCTACTCAGCAGCAGGATTCCTGGACCAGCACCATCAGCACGTCCTGAGAGCTAGCTAGAAATGCAGAAATCTCTGGCCCACCCAGACTTCCTGAGTTGGCGTCTGCGCTTTAAGACCTCCACCGTGATTCCTAGGAACGGTGCAGGGGGGCAGGACCGTGGTTGGCTCCTCTTCCTCAGAGCCACCTGCTTCCACTGCTGGGCCCAGCATACGATGTCCAGTAACTTCACCCACCTCAAATGCAGCCAGCAAGCACTGAAGGCCCTCTTGCTTCCCCCAGAACCTTTGAAAAGACAAGTTAGGACGAGAAAGTTAAGTGATAAAGCTCTTAGCTTTACAGGGCAAATACTCAAGACTTCTCCTGGAGACAGAGGTAAGTACCCAAAAGCAAAGTTGTTTGGGGCTTTTGCTTTGGGGCAGTGACACCCCATTGCTGCTCTACAGAGCTGTCTGGTATCTGATATTAGAGAGATGACTCTGAGGGATTTTACATGTTATATTCCTTATTCCCAGATTATTCAAGGACAGACATTTGGGCTACATCTTTGAAAGTCCTAGGAAGCTAATTTATGTGCAGCCACCACCCCCCCCGCCCCCAGTAATACCCGATACATGAGGTGGTTTTCCGTCTCCATAACTCTGCTGATGAACTGACCTGCCCTCCTCCCAAACCCTGTCCTCAGCCGAACTGTTTTCAGCGGTTGATAAAACACGAGTCAAGGAAATGTTTTTTTTTTTTTTTAGACTTTTTTTTTTTGGTTTGTTTTTAAAGAAACTGCATACATCATCAGAGACAAACAATAATTTAAATACCATGCAGTTTCTGTATGTACAAAACCTAGGCCATAGAGATCCAGTTTAATTTGTATTCTATTTACATTGTCTTCCTCATACAGCCATCATCTGTTAAATTAGAACACAGGAGAGCGCTCCTATACAAAGACAAACTATGTACAGACACCCGGGAAGCAACTGGAAAAAGCAACTGGTTTGGGGATTAACAGACAGATGGGAAGAAAAAGTCATTTAAGGTGACCTCCACCCACCGCTGTGCACAGGGAAAGCCTGACATCCCATTCATCGAAGCTCACACCACGATATTCATTCGGCAAATATAAATACACGTTCATAAGCGGGAGAAAAATAAACTCAGGTTTTTATCACATCTACCATCACATTGTTTGGTTTCTCTAATTTGACATAAAGGCTAAAGTTTTAAAAGTTTTACAGGGCTTTGAGGGCCTTTGGAGAGGAATAGATCAGCAATTTTGAAAGAGCAAGTAGGCCGATGGCAGTCCCTTCCGTCAGAGATGGTGGGGGGCAGGGTGGGGCAATGTCTGATTTCGAGAGGGAAACCGTTCGATTTGAGAAATTTCACATTTTTCCTCTCACGCTAATCCAAATGACAAAAGGCTCCATTGGGAATGTATCTGCACAAGACCTTTGAGAACTGCAGCTTTTTCAGAAAAGGGATGCATTTTAAACCACCTAGCCCATCTCACCTTTCTTTGTAACATCTTCCAGTTGTCCTAAGAATACAGCAAAAAAGAAAGAAATTTGGATAGATTTTTATCAAGACCTCAAGATTTCACAGAAGGAAAGAGACAGCAGAGACCCCCATCCTGTGGTCCACTGAGGTTGCTGAGCCCCCTACACTGGGCTTGAAGTAGCCCACCTTGATGGTGGGGGAGATCTCAGGGGCATGGAAGGTTCACCCCTAATTCCTGCAACTGACTTCTCAAGAAGGGTGCTCTGCAGGAATTGAAGTGGAGATTGTGTTCCCTGTCCTCCGTGCTCAAAGTGGACTGCGACAACAGGGCACTTCAGGCAAGATCCCTGGGTTGCCGGCTGGCTGCAGGGAAATCGATTTGGGCGTCACGTTCCCAGGGCCTCGGAGGCCCAAGAACCGAAGCCAGCAGAGAAGCCACTGGCCTTCGAAGGAGGAGTCCAGGCCCGGGAAGGAGCTCCCTTAGGCCTCGCTCCTGGGCCCGGGGAAGGCCTGCCCATCACGCCAGGGCCCTGGGAGCCGCACGAGGCCAGCTGGGAGTTACAGGAAGCTCGGCCTCGAGCCCTGGCCGGGCAGGCACCCTGCCTGGAACACCTGCCTGCCGCAGAGAAGTCAAATGAAAGAGCCCGACCTCTTTCGTCATACCATTTGCACATTCAAACGTCAGTAAGCCTTTCGGGAAGACTGTGTTTACAGCCACACTGAAGGCCCGACCACGTTTTCCCTGAACAGTACCCTCCCGCGGCAGTTAACTATCCAGACTCAACATTCAGAGAAAAGGATCTAGCGGTGGTGCCCCTCCTGGGGCTGGGCAGTGGCGCGCTCACTCCGGGGGGGACGAGGAGAGCGGACGACGGCTTGGCAACGGTGAGTGGGCACCACCTCCAGGACGGCCCTGAGCTCCCCCCAAAACAGGCCCGGCTCCTGGCTCAGTGCCGGCCAGAAATGAAATGGCTCCTCGCTGGGTGTGCGTCCCCAGAGTAACGCTTCCCACACGGCCGGGGCTGGGCACTGGCTCACTCTGTGCTAGGCCAATCTGGCATCCAACTCTCGGGCACGTGTGGAGGGGAGCGCGCCACCGCCTGGAGAGACGGCGCTAACTGGGCGACCGCTCCAGAAGGCCAGGCAGAGCTGTGGGGCTGAGGGCCCTCCGAGCTCTGTTAGGAAGGAAAACAGAAGCAGCTGCGACGGGCCTCATTAAGATCGTTGTTAGGGTTTGGGGGCTGTCCTCCCTCTCACTGCACGTCCTATCCTTGGTGTCCCTCTGTCAAAAGAGCACTGCCTTCCTGTGGTCCCAAGTGAATGGGACAGAGAGCGAGACCTCTCCAGCCAGGCTTGCCAGCACCATGAGGGAGAGGAAGGAGTCCCTCCAGACAGGAGCGGGAAGGTACAGCGTGGGCAGGCGTGGCTGGTGTCTGCACGATTCTGGCCTGTGCCAAACCCTGAAGCTCCCCCACAGAAACTCTTCAGTGCAAAGACAGGAGACTAGAAGGCCATCAAGTGGTTCTGGAGTGCCCGTCCATCGGTGGCTGGACAGTCTTTCGGGACTGGGCTCTAGCTTGCATGCATGGGTCCTATACTCAGAGGCCGTTTGTTAACTTCCAGGCCACACAGTCACCGGCCCCAGGGTGCGCAGAGAAAAACGAAGAACACCAGCCAAGCAGTTTCTTACCCCAGCCTTTCTGTCCTCACCAGGGTCCTCACACTCAGACGCACGAATACCATAGGAATACCACGGCAGTGGCCGTGTGCGTAAGATCACCCATGACATTTGGCTTTTGTGACACAGCTGGGTCAGTTCACTTGAACTGAGCAGATGACTGCTTTCCCCTTCTAAACCGGAGCTCCCTAGAAGGCAGCTCAGCTCAGTCTGCAGGGACAGGCTAGGGGCTCTGCGCCGGCCTTCCACACCTGGAGCCTACACACTCTTGGGACCAACAGTCAACCACAGACTCCCCGAGAAAAGCATCTTCCCTTTTGTTCACTGCATGGATGACGGCTGAAGGGGGAGAAAGGACAGGGGCAACCGCGGATAGGGCTCCCTCTCAGCATCCTCCTCCGAGCCGGACGCCTACAGCCAGTGTGTCTGGTCAAGGCTAGAAGGCCCACCCGACCATTTGCTTTGCAGTCCGTTCCAGGCCAAACCCACAGCCTCGGCTTTCTTTGGACCCAGGTGACACACACTTTAGGGGAAGAGGTTCGCTGGGGCCTAAATGAGCCTAAAGGAGGTTGGCCTGCTGGGCCTGGCTGGAGAGGCTGGGGCCTGCTCCGAGCGCCAGGGAGTCTTCCGTCCGACCCACCGGTGTCCTCGGTATCCGCGTGGTGCCAGTGGTTCTGACCGCCGAGCGGTGACCCCCGTATTTTCGCAAAGAGAATCCTGATCACGTTTCCTTTTTTCTTCTTCTTCTTTTTTAAAAAAAGGCAGTTCAGAAGATTTACATCATAATGGGGAAGTGAATAAATACCAGCACTTATGGTTCTTATAAATTTATGTTTTGAAGACAGCATAGCACTCAAGAGGAATTTGACTGTTAAGGTCGGTGAAACCTAGGAAAACAAATAATTACATCAGGACCGAGGGGCTATTAAAGGAGCCAGATTCCCCAGTCCGAGCTTTCTGTCCTCAGATGCCCCGTTGCTGACAAGTGCCGGGCTGAATCTGGTTAAACCCCCACCCAAAGGCACATGCCGACAGCTCTCCTCCAGTCCTTGAGCCCCACGGGGTTCACCTTTGATTCTGGAGCGGTTTACTCTGGAGCTCCTGGGGGCCCCACTGGATGGCCCTGCTGGCTCTCAGCCTGGACTCTGCAGCCAGGCAGAGCTCCCAGCCTGTGTCTCTGAGTCCAAGCACTAGAGAGCTGGTACATCCTGTTTCTCTAAAATGGTCACCATTTAGTACGAGTCCTAAGAATTGAGTTGATGACTCTGTCGCTAGCTAGCCATATGACCTTCTATCAGCCCCTTAAATCTCTCTGTGCTTCAGTCTCATCAAGGGTCTTTTCTTCTCAGCCTAAGTTTCCATAAAAACCCACTCTGGTGTTATTGGTGGTCTGGCACTAATCAGAACTTTCGTTTGGATAATTTAAAAACTAGGCTTTCAGAAGGTCCCGCTTAGCCTGGGCTGTGATGCTCCTTCCCCGCAGGGCAACTTCACGCTGACCCTTCACCTTCTCCCCCCCCGCTCCACACCTGCCACACCACCTGCGACCCGGCGGCAGATGGGAGAGTTCCTGGAAGCAAATATTACAGTGTGAGGGGTGGGGGAGGGAAAAGAACCCCTCGATACACTAACCTTGTTAAATGTCTACTCAATTCATGAACTTCCATTTCGGTGCTTTTAAATTCATTGAGCTCCTTTCGAATGGCAGCCTGGAATGAAGAGAAGCCCGTGAGTATGCGGAAGAGGGAAAGGAGTTCGCCTTTTATTTCCATTTGCTTTGACGAAGCCAGATGCCAAAGTACGGAAAATGAACTCTTTCACTGGGAGGGGAAAAAGAAAAATCACCCAGCACCTACTACGAATCCTCATCCTGCTAAATGTAAATGCAAATGGCTAGAGCTGGCGAACTGTCCGAAGTGTCCTCGGCTTCCTGTCTTCACGGAGCGCTGCCTTCATCTCCCTTAGGTAAATGACCTGAGCTCGCCACAAGCATGGTGATGCCTCAAGATGGATCCTTCTAGAAGGTGTGGGTCAAACTCCTCAACCAAATTAAGGGAATTAAGGGTGAGTGCCCCCTTTGATTTATAAAGCCCTTACTCGGTTACAGCTCTGTTGACTCTGAGGTGATCTAGGTCATCATCAAGGACATGGGCTGAGTGGGAACGGCCTCCTCCTTCCAGCACTGGCCACAGAGGGGAGCTGCGGCCCACGGGAGGGCCAGGCAGCACGCTGCAGGACTGCAGAGGGGCCAGTGGGACAGAGGTCTGGCCTTGGGGGCAACCTCGCTTCTTCCCCGGGGGCTGAAATTCTTTAGGTGGGACCAGCGCCCCCCCCACCCCCCTAGAGAAGGCAGGCGCCCAGTGTGCCTGTTTACCAGCCTCGGTTACCACTTCCTGTTCCTCCTGCGGGGCAGCCTATGCGGAACTAGAGTTCCCTCCCTGCTGCTATGCACAACTTGAGCACGCGCGTGTGCGGACACACTGTACCTTCCCTCGGCTTCAGCTCAGTGCACTGCAGCCTGCCCGGGAACAAGAGGGCCAAGGCCCCTTCCTCTGTTCCCGTTTATGCGACGTAACTGCCGGGTGTGTGCGCGTGTGCATGTGTGTGTCCGCGCGCGCCTAGCGGCTGCTGGGACCATCCCCAAGATCACTCCCCACAGACGCCTGCACAGGGAAGAGAGGAGTGCTATGTTTAAAAGGAGGGCAGAGGCTTCCACTCATCAGGGCCTGTGTGGTGGACCCACGCTGTGGCAAGCACTTCGGGAACATCGGTCGGCCTCTGACCCCATCATTCCCACCCACGTGTAGCAGCTTCCCTGCGTTCACGCTCCCTGCGATTGGTCGGGCCAGAGTGTCGCTGCAGAGGACCTTGCCACTTATAAAAGTGGTTCTTATAAGAAAGCCACTGGCCCTGGGAACTCATGGGGTGAAGGCAGGCCTCTTCAAGAGAAGGCCCCCAGTGTCTCCCCAATGTCACTTGCACATTGGGTGTAGTCATTAGACTTTTTTTTTTAAAGCTCTCCCATTCCCTCATGATGACTGGACTAGAGTCACAAAGGATTACGAAGCAGAGGTTATTTTGATACATGGTCCGGTGGACACGTAAGAATGAGGTCTCTCTCCCAGCGGGGAGCCCAGTGCGGGACCTGAACCCATGACCCTGAGATCAAGACCTGAGCTGCGATCAAGAATCAGATGCCCAACCAACCGAGCCACCCAGATGCCCCAGAATGGTGCATCTTTGCCTCCCATCTTTTGCCTCATTTCCTATAAAATGAACTCAACTTCCGATTATTCTTCGTTTTCCAAATGGATGAGGGGTTAGTGAAGGGAGGCAGGTTTTGCGGTCTCTGTGATCTCTGTCCCGTTTCTCCTATTAGGTTATGATACCCGCAGTCTCTTTTGGGTTGGGTGACTCCTCCCGGGTGCTGAGGACAGCGTCTTCTTCCCTGAAAGTCTGCGTGGAGCGCAGAGCCTAGCACTCGTGAACCATTCTGTGCCCACCCGGGCGCTCTTCTGCTCCTCTGGGCCCAGCCTCCCTCGCCGCCTTTCCTCCTGCCGCACGTTGCATGATATTACGTGACTGTCTTGTGTCCTCTCTACGGCAGCGCAGAGCCAGTTCAGTGAGCCCCGGGGGAGGGAGTGGGGCAAGCAGCGCCCTGGGCAGGCAGGCCCCGGCCACCCAGCACCCCCTTAGGGACACTGCGACCACAGCTTTGATGCTGCTCTGGCTACTGGCTCCAAACTGAGGCATGAGCCCGCCCCCCCCCCTGCTTACTTTGTCGGCGGCGGTGAGGCGGGTCCACGGCTTGTCGGCCCTGCGGTCGTAGTCCTGAGCATCAGCCACCTCCACGTAGTCGCTGAAACGGATGAGGATCTTTCTTTCTCTAAGTTCTTCCACCGTGGGTCTTTGGCTGAGCTGCAGAGAAGGAGAGAGACGGACCGTCAGCCAGAGAAGTTCAGGCGGCCTGGTCAGTTTGCTCACTTACAGGGCAAGATGAGAGGCCACCAACACATCCCACAGTGAGTGCAGGACGCGGCCCGGCTGGGGAGCTAGGGCTTCAGACGCCTGGGCCTGCGCCTTCTGCAGGGCTCCGAGAGACGCAGAGCTTTATCATCCCCGGAACTCGCTACCGGCTTATCCGGACAGACAGCCGGGCTGTCTCTTCCTTACCGACACGGCAGCGCCTCCTCACAAGCAGCTCGTACTCCGTGGGCGCGGGTCTTCCCACACCTGTGCCCCTTGTCCCAGCGGGTGACCGGCCCCGTACACCGTGCTGGTGTCTCATCTCGGTTTTGTAAGTCCACAACCATGTGTCAGAATGAGTGCACTCTGCAGGATGGACTTGTAAATCATCTTACACGTGTGTGTGTGTGTGTGTTGGGGGGGGTGTTTTAGACACAAAGGTGTATATGCAAACATGCAAATTCAGGGGTACAGCAATGATCTAGGAGGTCCGAGGGGACGCTGCTCCTCAAGAAGTTCAAAGGAAAAGCCAGTCCACACTTGCAGAGCGAGGCTGAGTTTGTGCCAGGGAAGCGGGGCGGGGGGTGGGGGACAGGCCCACGGGATGCGTCTGCGGGGAGGGGTGAGTTCATAGTGACTTCACCGCCTCCCCATCCTAGTTCTAGTCACCAGCACCCTTCCTTTGTACTTGAACAGCACAAGGCTGTCGTTTTTATTAGCATTTCCTGCCACGAAGTTGACTTCTTCTGGAGCAACGCCGTCACTCTTTCTTTAGGAGGCTGTCCATTGAGGTTTAACTGATGTTATTTAAAAGCAATTTTTCCTCTAAGCCTGGGACCTTATTTACTTCTATTAATAGAAAATGCAGTCAGATACAATCTTACCGCAAAGGCCTATAAACCACCCCCCCAACACACACACACACACACACACACACACACACACACACACACACC